AAGCTAAAGCTTTAGGCTAGCGCGCTCCACGCTGGACCACCACGGCATGCCGGATTTAGGGGCTGACGCCGGGAGGGCCCTGCCTTGGCCCTCCTCCGTGCAGTGCCTGAACTCTATGGCCTACCCCCTAACCCCGGACCGAGGCCCTGCCCCTGCCCTCCCTACAAAACCAATGCCCTCTTTCAGCTTTTTTGCTTTGCACAGTCCAAATGCACAAAAATGCTCCGTGCCCGGGCGGGGCGGGGGAAGGGGGGGGGCCATAGGAGGGGGGGGGCAGGGGCGGGGCGGGGGTAGGGGGAGGCTTAGGGGGAGGGTGTTATGAGCGTTGGTTCTAAACTGTACAAAACAGAAAACTGTACAAAAGAGAAAAACATTGATTGTCCTCGGGAGGGGTCCATGGGGAGAAGGGAAAGGGGGGGGGGAAAACGTTGTTTCTCAACTACACAAAAGAGAACAACACTGGTTTTGTTGGGGGAGTCACCGAGGGAGGGGAGGGGGCGGGAGTAAACGTACAAAGCAGTTGGAGGGGCCGACGGGCTTCCCCGGCGCTCGACTCCAACAGCGGGGTCGGCGGATTAGCTGAGTTTCCACCAGACAGTTCGAAGTTGCCAATACTGTAGGTACTGTAGCCGGCAATTGCTTATTGCTTATTTCCGGAGCAAAATGAGGTCCGTCAAGGTTCTACGACGAGGGTGTATCTGTACTCATCTGTATGTGGGCGAGTGTAACGCAGAAGAATGCCACTCTCTTGCAGGTTTGAAGCTTCATGGCAATACATATGTGCTCGCGTCCACACTGCCGAGCATGCACGCCTATCGACTCTGCTTCCTTTTTGCCCTAGCTTTGGTGGCCCTCCTCTGAAGTTACGAGCTCTGTTTCGGAAGCTTTTTCCATGTAACGAAGCGGCGCTGGCCTCGCCTCGCGACGACATGTGACAAGAGGAAGGGTGAGCCCAGTGACTCGAGGCCCCCCAATGACCACCCAATGCCCAAATTCGCTTCTGCCTTCTGAAGCGGTTTTCTTGGTTTGTGCAATTACCATGCGTGAAAGATCAGGCTGATGGAAAAGGAATTGGTCTTCGATTTCCGCGTTTCCTTCGAATCCGCGATGACAAGACTCCGGAGGACGATGGCAGTTTGGGCAACTTCCGATGGATTCCAGACATGTGAGGAGTCAACCGGATCCGAGCAGATTGTCGATATGTTCGAGGCGCAGGCTTCCGTTTCGGGCACTGCAGCCGCTGGGAGCTCATGCTGATACCAGGTTTCAGACAGGAGGATTACAGCCACCTGTTCGGCTTAGGTAGACGACGACTTCTGACAGCTCACCAGCCAAAACAGAGATTCAGATCAATTTCAAGGCACCAATGATCGGTTGCGCGCTTAGCGAGTTCCTTGACTTGTGTCTGAGGCTGGAAGGGCTCCAAGTCGCCGGGGGATTGCACTGGACTCAGCGTCGCCAAGAGCCAGCCGGCGTCCGTACTTCACTGCTTCGAAACGCTTTGGTCATTGAAAACCCTAGGTACAGTCGTGTGAAAGACGCGAAGTCCGTTTGCCTTGCAGCTGGCCCGGAGTTGCCGCATAGTCCGGATCATGGCAACAGCTGTTCTGTGCTGAGGATCTTGAGCCTCATCGGTTCGTCGTTAGATGTTGGCAGATGCTGGACCGGTATCATGCTGAAACAAAGCCACTGAAAAGTTAAACGCCGCGCTGTTGTGTTCTGATCAACATCGCCGCCTAAGCATCGCCAATATCTGTTGATCGGCGAGGGGGAAGGCAACACGCCTTGATCCGCAGTGTGTGACATCATGCGCGGGGGTGAGCGGATGAACAACATGAAAAAAATGCGTGGAGTTTCGAGCTTGGTTCTGCGCTCCACACCTCGACATTGTGTTGGTGTTCAGCCTTAACGTACCCGGTTTGTGAAGCCATGTCTGAGCGTCCTGTATGGCATGCCTCCAACTGTCCCTGTGCTTTTCTGTTCTCTTAGCAGATGCAGGCCATTCAAGCAGAAGAGATTGAAGAACCAGAACCCGAATCGGAAGACCGCGTGCAGGAGGCAGTGTTGACTTGCTCGTATGTTCTGTGACCCCACGGCCCATATGTGTGAATGCTGCAGGATTCGGCTACGGCAGCCGCGGCTAATGCTTACTCACAGCCGAAGCAAGTCAAGCTGCCAGGCCCAGACAGATTCCGAGCTGAAACAGGATGCAGCCGCCGTGCGGTCATGACGAAACAGCTCGGATGTTCTTAGTATTGTGGCCCCCAAGTGTTTAGCAACGCTTTGCTTTACGCCCCTCGATGCCATCGACAAAACGATCAGAACAGTATGCTTCCCGCATCTAGGCCAAGACGGGGCTGAGATGCTTGGCTACTCGACTGTCCTTGTGTCGTCTTCCGTAACACTCGAAGATTCGGCTCATCTTGCTGCTTCAACGGCCGTCGAAATCTGTCACGGTGTGGATTGACTGATTATATTTTGACAGATAGAAAATATACAAACATGTGGAACCGCAACTCGGGCGCGCCATGAAGGAACATGAAGCTGCACACACAGCCAGTGGTTGGAGGAGTGGCTTTCCGGCTGCGCATGTGTTGGAAACCGTAGGAGGGAGTCACCTACCTGTAACTTCTTCGTGGCTCGTGGTGACATCAATGAGCTCCGAATTGAGACATCAGAATTCAGATGCCAAGTGATTTCCGCACGAAATCCTGAGGCTCTTTTGCGGAGCAGGGCTTAATGTGAGAGTCTGATGGCCGAGATGGTCCGGAATTAATAGTTCGCCTACATAAAAACAAAGTAGCACTCGATTCTGCCTCCCGACGGAACATGTCCGAATAAGTTTCCGAATAAGAGTGCGGTCCACCCGCATGTTAGCACCGGTTGAAGTCTCTGCCAGACGGGCGACTGGAGTGCGAGTTCTGCGGTCGCAAGTTCAATCCAGCCAGTTATGCGCGACATCAACCCGTTTGCCAGAAGGCGCCGCCGATGTCACAGACGGGTTTAGAGTCCGTACAATGGGGGCCGCTTAGTTAGAAGGATGCTACCGCAGCTTGCTCCGCAAGGTGTTTGGTAAAACTCGGCCGCAGTTCATGCCAGCTTATACGGTATCCAAGGCGCGCCGCACCGTGTCACATTCTCTCCTATGTGGTTTACCGTACACAAATATAGTCATAATATAGTGGTGACTGTGAGGCGCCCTCAGCAGCTCGAGCACCAGGCAAGTGTTGCAGAATCTCAGCGGGCCGAACCGCGACCAGTCAAGGCACTGGACAGGAGCAAAGTCCTTGTACCTTGGAGAAATCTAAGCTTCTTCCATTTCCCGCATTGTTCCTTCGAATCGAAACCTGCCCATGTGTGGCAGGTGGTTGAAGGGCTCGACCTTTCTGCCAAGGTCCTCCGGTGGAAGCGAAGAGCGAAGCCAACAGCGGTCTCATTGATCACCCGTTCATGGGAGACGGCCGCGGGCTATTAGCTGAGACAGCCGGTGCGCCTTGCTATGCCTTGCTGGGATGGCCCTGCAAAGGCATTTTAGCGTGCTTTCTCGCTTCAGCGGCTGTGTGGACGGATTTTGACGACTATTTTGACGCAGGTACCATGCCGGACAGGGCCAGCCACTCACTGGCTTTTGTACTACGCTTTCAGAATTACTTCACTTCAGCTTGACTGTTCTTGTTTTGGCTCAGATTCATCGCGCGGTTCCTTCGAGGTCCAGGACAGAAACCGGCTTGAGTGTCCAGCTTTACAAGCAAATACTCCTGAGGCGTTTCAGGGTTCCTGATCAGTGCTCACGGTATGCCGCACGATCCTTTTCATGGCTTTTCCTTCGAGCCAAAGTCCCACAAAACGAAGTCCTGCTCGTATTGCAGCCTGCAGACTGCCGAACAGCGTTGTCGAGACACGTCGAGATTGTGTTTCGGATAGGCAGGGGGGAGGTGACATGCTGAATGCAAATGAACCCGTCTGGTCTTCCAGACGGCGACATGGCTTTGATTCTTCCATGTGGAAATGGGTAATGACAAAACTGGGGTCGGGCAGGGGGGCTTGGGGCTGGGCCGCCTGATGAACCGATCGTGTCGGGGCATTGGTGATGCGCCTGGTCCGTCGGGCGCATTCGCTGCTGTCGTTGGTTTGGCTCAAGTGTTCGCAGCAGCTTACGGGCCTTTCTGGTCTTTGCGTGCGGACGCCAGAACGAGGCCCGGCGTGGCCGGAGTTTTGCAGCTTTTGTCAGGGTGCGCTTCATGCATTTTGAGGCATTCGTCGTGTGTGCGATGAGTCATTATGCCAGCCGCCTAAGCGAAAAAGACGTCCTCTGCTCCGTCTTCCTGCTCCGGCTTCGGCTTTGGTTCCTCTCAGGTCCCCCTTCCCAATGTGACCTTCGAGCCGATCGACTTGGAGTCGGGGTCTGGGGCTTAGGCCCTTTGAGAGCCTTCAGCACTTCCGGCAGAGTCTCTGAGACTTTTGAGAGTCTGAGTCTGAGGCTTGGAGACGTCTTTCGAAGTGTCACTCCGAGCTTCCTCCGAAAGGAGGAGGACCAGGCCTGGCTGTGCTTTTGCTGCCCTAGCATGGCAGGCAGTTCGTGAGCATGCAAACTCAGCCGGCACCAAAGGAGGACGAGGATTTCTGGAAAACATGCTGCCCAGACATAACCTACAAGCAGAGAGCTACCGGCGTGGCCCTGAAATCCACACTTGTGGTTCTCTGCCATGTTCTCTGGCCATGCATGAGGTTGGGCTGCGTGTTTCGGTCAAAATCTCGGCTCCCCACGAACTTGACACTGTCCAAAGAATGAAACTGAATGAAAAGCAAGGTCTAGGCTTGCTGCTGCAAGTCTTGAGTCTGGGCTCGCTGCCGCTGGGCTGCAGCTGCCGAGTTCGAAGTGCACCGACCACCTGCCTGGCTGAAGGTCTCGAGCAATGCTCGGCCATCCCAGCCGCTTCGCGCTAACATACACCCTAGGGTCCTTGCCTGAGAAGTGCCCATGCCGGCAAGCACAAGCCCCTCCGACAGCCTGCAGACGGTTACTGCAGGAACATGGTGGCGCTTGTCGGAACCTTTTTCCTGGCCGGGGTGCCCAGTTACCGTACCTCAGCATTTACGCGCTTACGTTCATGAGACGACGTCGACTGAACGAACCCTTGCCGGGTCGACAGCAGATTTCTCATGGCTCATTGCTTTGAGCCAATTCCTTACCACACCTGAGCAACACTCCAACGAGGCTTCCGTCTGAAGCGAAATGTGTTCTGGGGGCGATTGAACCAGCGCGAAAGTGGCAAACTGAGCCACCTTGCCTGGCCTATCCTGGCCTCCGCCCTGACAGTTAAGCAACCACGATGAAGCAATGCAGCCATTTGAAGCTGCTTGCTGCCTTGTGTTTTGTGTTTCGCCTGCAGCGCAGGGCCTAGGGCCTAGGGTGTTCTTCACAAGTGGGCATGAAGCTCTGTGGGAGCAAGAGCAGGTTTCATGACGGTAGACCATGATATCTGATAGACAATGTCCTTGCCCTCTGATGCCGCCTTTGACTTGCAGGCCGGACCTAGACGGCAAGTCCGCAAGATGGCAGACAAGAGCAGGGCGCGATCCTCGGCGCCACGTCGCTTCGTCGCACTGCAATGCACTGAAGGGCACTGCGCACCACGAATTGGCTCCAGGCAAACACGTCGACAATCTTCCTGGTGTCAATGATTTTGACACTGCTGGGCCTTCAGGCTGACGCAGGGAGTCATATTGCATCAGCATTGCATGTTCTATCTTTCAAAGGTTCTGAGTCCGAGACTTTCAACCATGAAGCTCGTGTATACCAGCAACAGGATAATGCAGTATGTTCTGCTTGTCAGGTACCGCATTTCTTTGGTCGTTCGCTGGTTATCCTGGCCTTAGTTGGCCTACAATGGCCAGCGCCTGAACGGATAAGCAAGAAACCGCCGCACCCCTGCAGACTCTCCAGTGTTTAGTCGAAAGCTGGTGGCACAGCTCTACACGCCGAGGGCCTCCCTTGCGTGGTACACGCTTTCCTACATCCCGTACGGACAGCGGCTCGCGACCACTGTGCTGAAGAAATGTCATGCTCTTGGTGCCACAATTGACCGTCGTTTCGCCGCATGATTCAGCATCATCCAGACTCTCCGTGAAACTTCGCAAGCGCCGTAAGCCTGGACTTCAAGGTTTCGGATGGTGCTGCTTCTGACTGCTACTTCCTGAACTTTCAATGGAGGTGTTCTTTGTCCAGACTTGATACACTCAAGTCTTCCGAATTGCGGACACATGTACATATGCACGGCTGGGCATGTACCAGACATTACGCAATGCGTTGACTGCATGCTTACAAGGAGGCGTTGACTGCCCTTTGGAAATTCTCACGCCCACCTGTGGATCCGGGGCTACTGCCCGTGTCGAGCACGCCGAGCCTTGAAGGCTTTGCATAGGCTCCCGTGCATTGCACGCCTTTGCACACATGCTGTGCCGAAGAACAGAAACGCTGTCATCATCTCAACGCCAATTGGATGAGCTACTTGTAGCACGTCAGTAGCATGGGAAGTGGTGGAGTCCAGGACCGCTTTTGCCTCGACATCAGAGACCTGGTCGATCGCTCAGCCGACCGTCGATTGACACCAGCACTTTTTCGCACCATTTGCTCTGCTATTTGCAGGAATATTCAGAGTTTAGCGCCTGTTGCAACTAAATCGATTGCATGTGAGCTGTGCATGCCGGGTTGGGAAAGCCGAAGGTTCGATGAGTGTTTAGTTTATGATTCAGTCTACAGCATGTACCGTCTCCGCGAGACATCGCGAGACTCACTAGACACAAGCTCTTTGCAAGCGCCCAGGGATCCAATCTGCGACGACCTTCAGGACCCGCCCTGCTGTTGGCAGCCAAGGGCTACACATGAATCGAACGCCACAGTAATCAGCTGCAGTCGATTTATCAAGCGCTCAGGGATTTGCCATGGGTGCACAGACATCGCGTCCGGCAAAGCGACCTCGCCTTTCCCAAGCTACCCCGGCCAGGTCGGTGCCCGAAGGAACCCGGCGCTTGCGTCTGAATATTGCAGGCACGCGAATCGAGGCCACCAAGCACACGCTCTGCGCTCTCGGGCCTTCTTATTTTACAAGCTATCTCACAACAAGGGTTCCGACCACAGATGAGATTTTCATCGAAACAACCGTTGCAGCTTTCGACGTGATGTTTGGGGCCATGCTTGTCGCGCAGGCAAGCCTGACGAAATCGATTCAAGTCGTACATGATGGACTGGATAAGCATGGATGCGTGCTGCATCATTTGCTAGACTTTCTGATGTTGAGCTGGATTGTAGGCAAACCGTTTCATATGCCACCAGCACTTTTGTCTTCCGTATCTGGTGACAGCGCAGCTTTCTTCAAGGCTGGTGACTTTCTGGATCAAGAGTTCATAAGCTTGGAACTGGGTCTGCGATCCCACGGCTTGCAGGGCGGCGTCTTCGAGTATCTGCGCAGTAAACGACAAAACCTTTGTGCTTATTGTTTTCAAGCTGATGGAAAGATGTCAGTGCGTGGCACTGTGCATGTATCTGCCGAGTGCAACTGTCAAGACACAGAGACTTTTGTTCAAGCCAACGGGGGAACGACGATGGATTTGGCGAAGCGCCTGGAGTCCAGGCCTGCGGCTGAGCGCAGAGTTGCCATCTTGTCTGAGCTCTACAACGATGGTGACCAGTGCGGAGAAGGCTTGAATCTCTACTTGGAGGAAGCAGCCTTTAAAGATAACGAGGAGGATTCGGATGCCTGCGACTACGTAGCGTCACGTCTTGTTTTCGATCTGGGACCGAAGTTCATGCTTCGACTGCAAGGTGCTCTCGTTGGCCTTACATCCAACACTAGAGTGCCATGTAAATGCTGCGTGCGACTGGACATCGCAGACAGCCATGCGGAACTCAAGAAAGGCAAGCCAGGCGGCTTTGCTGGAGACCTCCATGCAGACGTTGAGCTCCTTCCAAACTATGGAGTCGACGAAGAGGGCAAGTTCCACTTCCGACATTCCCTTGTCAAGCTCCAAGCTCCTGACCGCAAACTTCCCCTTACAGGGCGACTGCTCTCACTGGAAGTCTGGAGCTCCGACACAGCTGCGACTGCGAGCCGCAAGTGGCGCCTGTCGGCTTTCGAAGTCTTCGGTGATCTTCTGGAGCTGCCAGAGGAACTGACGTTGCGGGATAGCCGAGGCCCCTTCATCTTCGATGAGCGTTCGGCAACCTGCTGCCAGTTTCAAGAAATCGGCATCCTCGCTCCTGGGGCATGATGACTTTTGGCTCGCGGAAGCTTGAGACCTAATTTTGATTTCTTGTCTGCCGCAGGAAAAGGAGCAAAGAGTCAGGCAGGTCATGGACGTACAGATGGAGGCAGCATGGGAATAGTCTAACTCAGCCACTGTTTGGACGAATAATTCGATCATCAATAGTGTGAGGATGAGCATGTCTGGTCACGTATCAATTGTGTCAGGAAATCCGCAACATGCGGCAACAAGCCTGCGAGGATTTCCTCAGCAAGGGCAACCACACAAAGTGTAGTCGTGACATGTCGTGACGAAAACGTTGACGGAGTGCCTACACTCGTGAGGACCCGGAGGAGCCTGCAGCTCCACCGGAACCCGACAGCGAAGGACACACGTCCGGCAGCCCGGTACGGTGACCATGAAACCCGGGACGGCTGCCCCTGCTCGGCCTGCCGAAAGCCAGAAGCCGCCAGAAGCCACAAGCCCCAAGCTGAGGCCGAGCCTTGGGAGCCGTTGCCCCAAGGATGGATATTCCGCCGTGTCAGCTTGCCGTTGTGACACGTGACAGCTTGAGACTCTGAATGATAAGACCATGCCCCCATGGGGGGAGCCCATCACTCCAAGCTGTCTTTTGACAACCCACAGCCTCTCACGCCACACGTATGCCAGGGCAATTCTCACATACTTGAAAGTAAATCGATGCACCGAAGAAGTTCAGCGGCGAGACGGGGCCGTTGCGCCCCCGATCAAGGAGGTCAAGAGCCCATCCCAGTCTGAGCATTACAAGACTTGCAGTAGACCAAGCATTCGTACCAAACAGGCTTCGCTACACAAAAGGAGCTCCGAGCATTTCGAGCCTATGACAGTTCCCGAGCCTGCACAGAAGGCAACCCATATCCAAAGGCATAGGTTATTGTAGATGGGCCGGACTTGCAAGAACCAGCAGCGTCGAAAACAGTGCCACATGGGCTGGAAAGCACTGCCCACATAGGCCATGAAGAAGAAGAAGAAGCAGTAGCAGCGAAGCATTTTCTGTCCTCATGTTTGCCCTCATTCTTGAATAGGCAGCCACTCGATGTTCGCCATCTGCAGGACGCCCCATCTGCTCCCGATCTCCGCCAGCGAGGCGAAGCAGCGCAGCGAGTAGGCCAGCTTCTGGATTCCCAGCATTTTCAGCACTCTTGCGTCTTCAAGTTCTGGTGCAGATGCCTCGAGCCCTGAACCTGCAATGGCAACTTTCCTGCATTTTAGATGCTGCCTTTGTCCATCGCGTGTTCTGCATTGTATTCATTGTGTCATGAAGAAGAGCTCCTCTTGTTCCGGTCAAGGCTCCAGCACACGAGCGAGCGAGGAAAAGCTACAGACATGAGGCCATTCGCAACATTGAAGAGTTTGGCTTGCAGCTCGGGTTTTGGTGCAAGGAGACGCCACTCCCGCACAACCAGCCGCAGAAGGAAAGACTGTTGCTGGCATTGCACGATCCGCATTCGAAGTGCTGTCCTAGCAGGACACACCCATGGGCTCCATATCGATTGGTGGAGGCTACGATCGATTTTGAATTTGCTCCGTGAGGGTCAGGTTGTTGTGCCTTTGAGTGTCTGGTGGTTGCTCGGAAGAGATGCTCTCTCCGGAGCCTGTGGGCGCCTCGGGGTTGTGGCCTCATGCCAACAAGGCCACCAGCACTGTAGAGCAGACGAGCTTTGTGTCGTGTCTGTACAAATTTCATGCTGAATTTGTGGTCTAATTGATTCTCCACGTTCTCTGGCAACAATGGTTGGGTTTAATTCGTTAGTTCTCACGCCACAGCCGCTTGTGGGTGTGCAGGGTGTGTATATCGGTGCCTAGGAGGTCGGCCAGGCAAAGCCAAATAAAACCCCCGAAGAGACGACGCGTTGGTGGCAGGCACAGTGACGGTCCAGCGTCCTGTTCCCGAGAAGGTTGGAATGCACTTGTGAGATGTCTGCTTACACGCATGTGTTTTGGCAGTATCGGGACAATTGCTAGCTTGGCTGCTCCAACCGCGTTTAGTTGCGAAGCGAAGCCTAAGCAGGATCCAGCATGTGCCTCTTACAAGGGGGGTTCATGACACACCTCGGTCTCTTGAAAACATGCGACAGGAACTCAGCCTGTGGACGAACCAGGCCACCATTGTTACAACGCTTTCCTTGCTGCGTCGTTGTGAATGCCTTAATATGAGACTTGTACAGATCGATGAGGTCACCATCTTTATCAGGATTAAGACGAAGATTTCCTGCTAATTTCGGGCCCTGTTTTCCTTCCAAGGACGACCCTGAGACCGAACAGAGAGATGGTGGTGCCATTAGAGACTCACTCGCGTTCTTGCTGAACAGGCGGCCCAACAGATTCTGCCAGCTGAAGGCCGAGAAGCTTGATGACGTTTGAGTGCTGTTGCAAGATGCTGCAACTGTTTTTCAGGGATCAACTAAATTGCATCTCTCTGCACCCGGACTGTCGTGTCTGAACACTCAATTCCGCGTAGATGTCCATCACCCTACGTACTTCCTGACACTTCCTGCAAGATAAACCTTTAGCGGGCACCGCTCGGAAAAGGCTCTGGCGCGGTGTTGAGCCTGTGGAATCTGGACCCTTTCACCGTCCTAGTCTTGACATCACACTGTCAACACGTCCACTTAGCTTCAGACCGAGAGTCATCTTCAATCGATCAAGTCATCTCCGGACTCTGGTGCCTTCCGGGTCCGGCGACCACACCGTGCAGTTGTTCTCCTCTCCTTCGGAGCCTTGCCGCTTGGCCAAAAGATGCTTTTGCAGAGCGGTCGCCGAGAGCATCCGAGAGCTGCTTTGCGTCATTAGGCCGGTTTTCTCAATTTACATCGTTTTACGCGGTCCGAAATGGGAGAATCTATCGGCCCACGGCCCGAAATGTCAAAAGCTCGCGAGCTCCTCCGCTATTGGTTTCTGGTCGCAGGATTGTCGCTTGCGTCGCAAGGGTCGAACACAAGCGGCGTTCGTTTGGAGCGATGGCCACAGGCATAATGCCCACCCTCACGCTGAGATGCTCATTCCAGCAGCTGGCCCACGCATTAGTTGACGTCAGTTGCTTCTCAGCATGCCAGGAGTGGCCATGCCAAACATGTCAGAGCTGAACCTGATGGCATGTGAGGACTTGTGCTGCCTTTAGCAAAAGGGCAGTAGAGGAGGGTCGGACTTGTCCAGGACTGTGGCCGCCGCTTCAACCCTTCCAGCCTGGAAAGGCATCGTGCAGTGCTGTGCTTAGCAACTCCCCTGTTCAGCAGTCACGGAGTTGGTTCTGCTGTCCCCTCAGTATGTTGAAGTGTGTTGTGCGGAAAGTCTGACGCTTGCAAGGTCTGCCGGAGCGTGTTTGGCGGCATGCATATGAGATCGACCTTTGAATCTCAGAATCAGCGGCTGCGGGATGTCAAGGATCGCAAGGACGATCACCGACTTTCTGACACACAGCCGGAGTTTCAATCGCATTGAATTCATTGATGCGGCTTGTCAATGCTTGTCATAGATCGTGGACTTTGCTGAATGCTGCTTCATTGCAGGACCGCGCGAGTGGTTCTGGCGGTGTCCTAGCAGGTGATGCCGGCCGCTTAGCCACCAGCAGGGACACACGCACACAGCCTTACAGAGCCTTCAAGCTGACATTGTCGTCCTGTCCATGCCTTGATGATTCAGCGAGGCCGCTGGACGGCAGGATCGTCGGACAAGGACATCCTCAGACGCGCTAGCCGAAGTACAAGTGGTTGTTTCGAGGAGCTTGCACGCGAATTGCAGTACTGCTTCGTTTTTGAGGCCGGCACGCCCGTGGCACAAGCTAGGGCAGCTAGGGCGACCTATGCGGCGTTGCTTGGACTGAAACTCCCGGACTCCAGATGTCAGAAAGTTGGTTGCTCCTCGCGTGTTGGTTCCCGTGATCGGATTGTGTGTGCCGACGACTTGTCGGCCAGCTAAAGACGGAGAGACACTACAGCCGGATGATGCCCTGCTACAAACCTCTACAGTTAAGAGAGAGATCATTTCAGAGCTGAGCTGCATGCAGCTGCAATCAACAGGCCAGGGCCGCCAGGGCCTGCACGGCCCGGTGCGACGCAGGCTCGGAGGGCTTTCGTGCAGAGATGCCAAGCGTACTGCCGTCCTGCAAAGCATGCGAAGCCTGATGTCGCAGGAGTGTCCACAAAGCACAACTCTGCCTTGCGAGCAGGCCAGCGTTTGATTTCCAAGTCGAGTTTTTAATGGACTATGCTGAACCATGTCCGCGCACGGTTTGTTGACTCTCTGCCCGTCCTTCGAATGATCGGATGGGAGCATCGTTCCATGCGCGTGTAGGATCTGCATAATTTGCATCCATACGACTGATCGAGGGAATAACTCAGAATGGCATGGCATCCATGGCATGGCGCTTATGCACATTCAGGTCGAACAACGACTGGCTCGCAGCAAAGCTGTCGCGGAACGGGCACAGGGAGGCCCTACAAGGGCCTGCCGAGAAGTCCGTCTAGTGCGAACAACGTGTGTTGAAAGTAAGTTGTCTCTTCGTCTCCCGCGACTTAGTTCCAGTGCTGCACAGCCTCGGCTTCCATGGGTCCTTGTGCTGTTACGGTCAGTTTCGACTCCGCGACGTTCAGCTCTGCGAGAATCTCTTCGAGATGTCCCCAGGCCTGTCAGTGACTTGCGAGCCATGCACGGCGCGCGCCTCCTGCCTTTGTGAAGTTTCTAGAAGTGCTACGCGCAGTGCGACGCGCATCGCGGCGCATCGCTCAGCGCTGGAAGGAGGGAGGATCTGCAGAGCGGCCCTGGCCATGGCCGCCCTGCCAAGGCGCCCAGGGCCCTGTGACCCCTTTTCGTAGGCTTTCGTCGGCGATCTAACAGCCTATAGCTCAAGCATGAAGGGCGAGAGGGGAAGGTCGCAAAAGACTCTGTAATGGTGAAGCCAACGTCCAAATCTGGGTCTGGATCTGTTGGGACAGCGTTGTGGTTGGCGAAGGGCATTACATAATTTTAACCCTCTTGTGAGCTTCTCAGCTAGGCATGGCTTCTCGTCAAGGTTTTGGCGCTTTGGCCGCTTAGATTCCGCAATTTTCAGGACTGAATACCGTATTGGAACTCAACTTCGCAAATACACAGAGGTATTCTAACACGAATCCAGAGCAGGTTTTTGGGTCGAGGGCCGGTCCAATTTCCGTGGACGAGCTTTCTTGTTCGGCACGAGATCGTCGTAAAGTTGTTCTGCAGTGCTTATGAGAGTTGTGTTACAAGTGGTAGCTGCTGCTTGGTGAGTCTGCCTGGAGATCAACATACATCCAAAGATTTCAACGTATTAGTTATAGTTGAACGAAAATAGTTGATCTGCAAGGCTTGCCGGCAAGCTCTTAAACATTCTTAAACCTTGCAGAATCTCACAGGCATCGCACTCTGGCTCGCAGTAAGACACTGCTTCATTGTGTTCGACAGCAGTGTTAGTTGCAAAATGTTTCAAGTCCACGACGGAGGTTGATCAGAACGTTGCTTTGACGGTGACTGTTGATGCAGTGCATCAGAATCTTCACCGGTGCTATGTGTAGGCTTTTGCATCAGACGCTCCAGGTGTGCCAAAATGTCTATCCAGCACACAGCGCTGTGAAGCGACCAACTTACAGCGCGGGGCACGGTTTTTGTACATTCTTGTAGCTGTTGATTAAGCCGCTTCCCGCTTCCCTTTCCTGCATCTTCCTGCACAAGGTCGCCAGAGCCTGAAAGGGACTCCCCCCGAGGCGGGAGTCTCACAGCTCCATGCTCCAAGCATCTCGGATTCACGGCTATCTTTCCAACAGAACCGAAGAGTGAGAGGTTGCCTGATGTTGCCTCATAGCGTCTGATAGCCATCGATAGCCCGAGCTGAGCGTTTGCGCACGAAGGGGTCTGCTTCACGACCTTCTGGAAGAGCGAGCACAGAGGCAGGGCCAACGATAAGACTCGGAAATCTCGGATGAGGATACGGGGTGTGGCAGGCAGCGCCCACATCACCAGGTGCCAGCGGTAGGCGTGCCAGATGCTCGGCTACTGACATCTCGAACTCGGTAGCTGTCCCAAAGGGGCTGATTCTGATTGCTTTGTCGACTGAGCCCTTCTTCTGTCTTTTTCATTCTTTTTCTGGTTTGGGAACGGAACGGCTGAGGTGCGGCAACAAATCGAAGGCGGAAAGCTAGATGCGGTGAATATAGAGACCGGAAGACTACTCTAGAGACTCTAGAGTCTAGAGGAAACGAGGCAGAAAGAGGGACGGCGACGAATCGATGATAGCGGCAGAAAAATACACGGAGCAGAAGGAGGGGCTGCTGCGGAGAAGGCAAATGAAAGGAACACCACTCGAAGGGATTCAGTTGGAGAGTTGTACTTTCTTGTTCTGCTGGTGATCCGGCGCGACAACCAGGTCAGTTCCACACCACCTCGCACGCGGCAAGACAGGTTCGTCCTGGCCTCGGGCAATTCAGAAACGTGTCTGTCGAACATGTCAGTCAGCCAGAGAGAGGAAGCAACCGAGTGTCACTTCTTGAGTTTCGGAAGTGGTACGCTTGAGGGCATTTTGGGTCCACGCCGTTCTCGAAGATTTACTGATTGCAGTGTTTGGTGCTGTGTTCTGACGCAAGAGCGTAGCACAGGAGAGAAAAGGCAGTTGTGCTGCGAGATGGTGCGACACGTCGGGATTGCCGGACAACACATGTCTGCCATACAGCCTTCCCGCTGTTGGAGACTTCTACAAGCACAAGTAAGGTGAAGAGCAGTGCTTCATCGACATCTGTGCGAAACGCAGACGGAGGCATCCTACAATCATATTTTTGTCACAGAGTTCGATTGGACGGAGATGACAGCTGGTCTCCACTGTGAGGCCTCGGTTCCGGCAGCATGGAGTCTGCCTGGCTAGAGTTAATTAGTCCGCCGTTACTGGAGTTGTTGTTTGAAGACTAGTTTGATTTGCTGCAAGGCTCATACATCGGTCTGTCTCGGAGATTCTGTCACCACGATCCTCTCAGGCAGAGCATGGCATGACTGCATCACTCCACTGGAATGGTCGCGAGGATCCCCAGAGTAAGCTGGACATCTTGGAGCAGGAGCTATCGAGCTGCCAGAGCTGCCATTGTCATAGCTTGCGAGGCTAAGTGCTGTGTTTTTTCAGGAAGTCCAAGAGGCTATTCAAGCCATGACCGAGTCCAAACCCGAGGACTGAACATAGCATACGAGAGAAGCGGGAGAAGTCGAACATGCCTTCAGGACAGTACCGCTGCGACAAACCTTCAGGAAGCTCGACCTGTCCGACGGCCCGATCTGTCCGGCTCGGTGCGATGAGACCTGGTTGCCAGGCCTTGCCGAACTCCTCCCCACAACACGGAGGTCTGCGCGGTCTGGAGGCGCAAAGCGTGTTCGCGTAAATCCTCAGACCTCCGAGAAAAGTTGCCCAGGAGCGTGCGACTCTCCTCGAACGGGCACGGCTTGGAGTGAAGATGGGCCAGCGGCCGCAGTGCGCCGCTCGGTCCGCCGGTCCCAACGAACTCGGTCCATGGCTTCGCCGCGCTTCGCCACGCCATGGCCGCCATGGACCAAGGCAAGCCTTGGCTGGGTCAATGTCGGAGACGCTTTTGCCCTCCGACCTCCTGCCACAAACCTAGCAAACTTCGCTGCAAGGGACTTGCTACTTTGCAGTTTCTCGGGGTAACGATGTGGAAAGAGTGCGACTCGCAGCCCACGGTACTTGCACTGTGCTGTAACCTGTAAACAGGCCTGCTGGACTCGCATGACTCGCGTTGATATGCGCATGTGTCATTGTCGTCTGTGACGCGAAGGTCAGATTCTATTGCTTCCGCTTCTTTCACTGCCTCTTCACAGTGGACACATGCCGCCAGACCTAATTGACTGACATGACTCAGGTGAAGCGTCTTAGAAGTGATTCCATAGCCCCAGACTTGACAGTGACTCCCAGTCTCGCTTCGCAGAGCGGCAGCAAAACATCGCAACCATGAGCTGCAACGGAGGCCTCGGTGCAAGCTGCAGGCGGCCTGGCGCTCAACCATGACATCATATGGGTAGTTCTCTACATTACGGTCCCTTTTGGGATGCTGCGGATAAGGATGCCGTGCTATATTGGGGACGTAAAAAGGGACCCGAATTTAGAGAACTACCCATATTGGCATCCAACACATCGAACCTGTTTGTGCGCCAGATGCTGGTATGCCCTGTCCATGTGTCCTTGCACGCTATCAAGCCATTAGGTTTCTGCACCTGAAATTAAACGGGCTCTTGGCTACTCAAGGGAGGAAGACATCGTAGTTTTGATATGCGGTGATAGGCGGTGTTTTTCTGGTAGCTATACATCTGTTCATCTGCTCCCGAAGAACGACCCTGCCCAAAAACTGAGCCTGCCCTCGTGGTGGACGAGGCGATGCCCAAATTGCGTGAAGAGTGCAGAGCGAAAGACGAGAATGCCACATGAAAGGAGGGTGCGCCCAAATAATTTCTGAACCAACCATTTTTCGGTGAATTTCGGAGACCTGGAAGGGTATTTGGAGGGAAGCACGCAGAGATCATGTCGGGACTGGCCTCCTGCAAGCTTTTGCCTTCACAGAACCGAGGCCATCCAGATGTCCTGAGCAGAACGCAGCCTGCAGTCCCATCCATGGTTGAGGAGTCGAGCTCAGCCCGTCTTGGCATATTCGGCCTGTTGAGTCGAAAAGCTCGTGACCCTCTGCTTAATGTCCGCGCTCTAGCCGGGTTCAAGACATGTTGAAGCGCAGAGGCCTTTCGCATCCTCGCTTGATAAAGCCATGCCCTTCGCGGATGTGGCTGCGGCGTGGCTGGGATACGCAGTCATCGCAGGAGCGTGTGTTGTGAAGCTTCCGCAGATCTACTTGATGGTAAAGAACCGGAGCGCAGAGGGCTTGTCTGAAACTTCAGCAGCGCTCGATGCCATAGCCGCCAGTTCCTTCTCCTACTACAACTTGCTCAAGGGATTCCCCATATCTGGCTGGGGCGAACAAGGGATAGTTGCCGTTCAGGCCACTGTTGTCCTACTTTTGATATGGGTATACCGTGAGGGAATCCGACTGAAAAGGCGATTCTGTGCCTTGGCGGCATGGTTGGCCATGAGCATCATTATGCTCAAAGAAGGTCACAAAGAGGACTACAAGTACATTCTTGTGGTTCTGGGAACCTCACCGACTGTCATGACTGCAGTTTCGCGAATTCCTCAGATTTTCCTGAACTGGCAAAATGGTCACACTGGACAGCTGTCGGCCATTACTTTCTTCTTGCAGTTTCTGGGTAGTGTGGCGCGCTTTCTAACCACGCTGCAGATCATGGGTAAGGACGTGCTGTCCTTAGTATCGCATGCAACAGGAGCCATTTTCAACCTCATTGTCGTTCTACAAATCTATTCCTACAGTACTCCGTCCGACGGCAGAGCTGCCAGACCTTGCAAAGCCGTGGCTATCGCAATGGCCACTGATAAAGAAGTGTAGCTGAGTGCTAACTAAGCCTGGTCGACGTCGTCGACCCTAGACTCTCGGACCTAGTCACGAGTCAGGTTGACATGTCTCATCGCTTTGTATTCTCTGCAGCAGCAGAAGTTGGTGACACTCCTTCATGGAGCTCATTGCGGATATGTCAAAAGGGCCACCTCAAACTGTTTTGCTTCTGTCTACGATCCCGTTTTCCACATCTTGCGCCGAATGGTTTGAAGTTGCGGCAAGGCGCCGCTGTCCAGCCGCTCCCGCTACAGAGTCATTGAGGCGTGACGCATAACAGTTGAGGCTTCGCTGCTCAGCTACTCGACGTGAAACTGATGCAGGCAAGCCATGCAAGCCCTTCAAGACGAGCCAGCTATAGGTCACTGGAGCTTTCAGGAAGCGTCGCTCACTTACTGGCTTTTCTGGCATCACTAGAGTTCAAGTTGCAGGACAGGCTCCATCCCAGCAAACAGTTGGCGCATCGACAGGGCTAAGGTGCCCTGGATCCGACTGCGCTTGCTGTTCCCCTTCTGTCCCGCTTCGCAGGCTGCCTGTGAGGCGCCGAGACTCTGAGGACTCTCGGTCATGCTCCTGGTGGACGAATTTCGTTTCCAAGCTTGCAAGCTTACAGCCAATTCCAATGCTCGTAGTTGTGGTTGTTTTGCGGGAGTATCCAACATGTTTCATGATCTCATGAAGAACCACGTGCTAACACATGAAACACATCGTCGTAGCAACAGCCATCAGCCACTGTAGCCATGGATTTCGATGAGCTGGATGAGTTGGACCCTGTGGAGCTTCCAGACAGAGAGTTCTCCATCTTGATCTGGGGCGCAACAGGTCGGAGAGCTTGGAGGGAGCCACGCCATTCTCTGGGCAATGTTTCTAGGATTTTTCAGAGCTGGGTCGAACAAGCACCACAGGCTTTACCGGAAGCCTCATGGTGGAGCATCTGGACTCCATGGCAAAGGAACGCGGACTGACCTGGGCCGTCGCGGGGCGCAACCTGGGCAAACTCCGGTGATCTGGCCACATTGAGAGAAATAGCCTTCTGGTCTGACATTTTGAGTGTTTGGTAAAGTGATGTCCAATTGTCGAACGGCCGAGAGCAAAGGAACCTGGTGGCACATTGCAGAAGCAAGCCGGGGCTTATTCATGTAACTGGAGCAACAGCATTCTCCGACGTGGTTGCGAGATGCCATGTTGCTTGTATGCACTCAATTTCGGGGAACGTGGCGAGAAAGATGCGGTACAGCTTCCGGTTGGAAGTTGCAAGGGTGCAAACGGGTCGGCTATGCTGGCTGGCCGTGCTTACAGCAAAGGTGTGCATGAGTTTGTTTCTTTTCGCTTCGGCGGCCGACTGTGGTGAGATCACTGGAGTAGAGGCAGAGGCAAAGTAAACGTGCGAAGGAAAGGTTTCAATGGCCCGCAAGCTTCTCCAGGCCGTTGTTCTGCGGAACTCAGTAGTTTTGGTAGTCTTGATGTTCTCGGCAAGAGCAAAGAAGCGTCGGAGCTGCGGACTCTGGCGAGACTGTGATGGATGTTCCAATCACTGAACATTGGCTGTGGCGTAGCACTGCGCAGCATGCTTGAATGAACATATCACCAATCCACCTGCTGACACCTCTCAGCATTCTCTTCGTCAGCTATCTTGGCACGTTGTAGCTGAGGTTGTTATCTCAGCTGCTGGGCCCTACTGCCTACTCGGCGAGGCACTCTGATTTCTAGCCCAAGCCAATCTACAACTGCTGGTTAAATCCGTTTCATCGTTCACTCATCAGCAAACGCAATGTCAGGCAGTCATCGAAGCGTGCGTGAAGGCCTCCACACATTACATCGATGTATGCGGTGAATTACCATGGATGTAGCCTTTTTGCATTCGGCTCGCAAACTGTAGGTGCAGATAGTCACATTGCCAAGTTCACCCCTGTTCATCCCACAAGTCTGGCACAAACAAGGAATCACAGCAAGCCATGCTCAAAACACAGGTACGATGTCGTGCAGAAGTATCATAGAGAAGCCCAAGAGACTGGTGTATCAATTGTCATATCTGCTGGCAACGTGAGCTGCGCGACTCAACTTAAGGTTGGTGCCAATATGTTTTTTCAACACTTTCTCAAGGCAAATGCTTTTGCAGAAATGAGGCGTGCCGGAGGAAGTGCTGTGCTACAGCTTGGTGCGAGAGCTTGGCCCATTGCAATCCTTCCGCGTCTCTGCCGCAACCTTCGGAGGGGCCAGCACGTTTGCCTCAGGAGTTTGGATGCTACAATTACATCCTTAAGTTGTCTTCAAGTAGTCTGAAGCTAGGTTTCGCAAGTCGGAGCTACAACTGGGGCACTTCAAGGATCCACACGTCAGAACAGCGCTGGCGAGGACATTCGCATTGCCACATGCTTTGGGCTTAGGGCCTTCTGGATGCTGACCAAAACAGGTTGCGATTAAACTGAGAACAACTACTGTGGAAGACCCATTTCCCGTATTCCTCTGGCGTTGAACAGCTGCAACATGCTAGAACCTCTTGCCGTTTTAGCTTTACGCGTTCGACCTACAGACTCACTCCCCACTACGGAAGTCTGTCCAACGTTCCATGTGCACTGTGCCAGTAAGTTCGTACTCGACCTGCGGGGGGTGCTGAAGACGGAAGTTGCCGGCCCAAAAGAGACCCCCGGGAGGGGCACAGATTTTGGTTTTCCAAGGAGAGTACTTCAGTCAATACGGCGGAGTCAGCGGGGGAACTCTTCAGTCACAGGTGGGAGGGACTTAAGCATGGTCTAGTTCCGCTCGACTCCGGCCAAGTCCTGCAAGGCGCCTCCAAGAGATGGAAGCCACAAAGATCAAGATCCGTTTTGCCTGGGCGGTATCCGGACGTGTGGCACCAGGTCCACAACACTTCTGAATTCTGAAACTTCAAGCATGGATGGAAGCGTGTCTGCCAGGCCAGAAGATCTGGACTGCACCACAGTGGAGGTTGAGTCTCAGACCCGTTTCTCATACAGTCTGCGTTGGATTGAAACTGCATGGGAACACTGCCAACGTCTCAGAATCCTGAAGATGCTTGCTGACAATCCTGTTCAGGTGGATCCGTGGTTTCCGCACCTGTTCCTTGCACAAGCCTACAACAGCCTCGTTGCCTCCAGAGTGGTGCGACGAAGCTGCCAGCTGTTCGAGCAGAGTGGTGAATTGATCTACGGAGAACGGCTGAGTGTGGTGGTCCGTGAAGCGCAATTGCAGAAGTCTGTCGCAGAAGGGCTGCTACAACAACTGCAGCCCTCAGGAGATGCTGTTGAAAGAATCCGCGTGGCACGCGAAAGAGGGGAGGCACCGTGGCCAGGTCAGGGACCGCCAGCGCGCACTCGTGAGATGTACGGGAGCGAGATTATTGGTGTCGCACAAGGAGAATCTGGAGACTGGGCTTATGCGCGTTGGACATCAGGTTGCGCTTACGAAGTTTCAAGCATGGCTGCTGTGTCTGGAGCTTTGATACTCGCAGAGCGGAAAGGACGCGCGCCTCGACATCGCACGTCACTACTTCTTTTCTAAAGTTTATGAATGGGGTCAAGACGTGTCAACCTAACACTTCAAGGAACGAGCGAGATCTGGAGTGGTGACTCCGGCATATGCTTTCCATAGCAGCAGCTGGATTGATTTGATGCTCAGTGTGTCCTGTCAGCAGTCTTTGGGTTTTGTATGGTTTTGCACCACGATGCTACCGGGCAGAAGTTCTGAAGTCATTTGCAAGAGTCTGCTGCATCTGCCCTCGTCAAAACCTTCCCATGTCCAGGTTCCCTTTGCCAATGGCTGTGGTAGGCGCGGTACTCACACTTACCAGTCAGTGTTATGGAATGAGCGGTCATCGTATCATTGCGATTGTGATTATGAGGAGGATTTCCCTCGACGTCGTTCCGGGCAAGCCAACCGAGGAGGACCCGGCTTTGGAGCGACGGAATGTGTTGGTCGTTGGACCTCGTGTTTTATGAGGGATTTTGAATTGCACAGACATGCCGTTCCTCGTGGAAGAGCGGTCGTGATACGCACCTCCCAGTCAATATGAAACGGGCCGCCCGAGAAGCCTCGGCTTTTCTTGGGCTGCTAACGTTATTGTGCTGCCCCTTAACTTGCCCGCTTGTCCTTCGATCTTTTCCAACACGCTGATGCACCTTTTCACTCCCAGACAGTCGAAACATGTAGGCATCTTGGGCATCCGGGTGCACAGTGTCAAATACTGGCACGGCACACGAGCCTACTTTCAACAGAAAGTGTGAATGCTAACTCTGTCTACTAATGGAGAGAGGAGTTCAAGATGCAGATCACCGAGAAGAATCGGAGGATGATGCAAGGCCCGGAAGGCAAGCGGCACTTCCTCGTTTGAAGTCAGCTCGGTGCAGGTCAGCAGCGGCTTCTAGCCGGCGAGCTGAAAGCATGGGCAGCACCCTCCTTGTGTGAAAGCATTTTCTGATGGCCTCTGGCGTGGGCCATGGCCTGCCATGGCTCACGTTGGCGATGTGAAAAGCTCCGTTTGTCGGACTACTGCAGTGTAGACCGAGCCACCACGTCTTGGACCATGCAGAAACATTGCAGGCTTGCCCGGTTTATGGAATGGCATGCAGGCTTCCTCTTGTAAACTCAACGATACGTGGAAGGATAAACAAAGCTGCGAAAACTAAGGCCTTCTCGAAACTGCGCGCAGCCGAGCCAGGACGCCGTTCTGCATGCTGCTGCCATTCCTAATTTGCAAGAAATGCATAGACAGTTGCAGGGATGAAAAAGGATCCATGACACACCTGCATCGTGTCCAGTTCAAACACCAGAGACTAACTTGGTTTCCGAGCCCTGAATCGGCCTCTCGGCTCCTTGGCTTTCTTGCCTTCGTCGCTTTGTGGCTTCGCTGCTTCCCGGCTATTCTCGGCCTTCTTCCTGGCCTCTGTGAGCCTCTTGGCTTCTGTAGCTTCTTGCCTCCTCGGTCGGCTTCTTGGCACACTTTTCGTTGGCTTTGTCAGCTCTGCTGATTTCGGGCTTCTGGGGTTCTTGGCTCCTCGCTTGGCTTCTTGACGTTTTTGTTGGCTTTGTCAGCTTTGCTGGCTTCTGATGGCTTCTGGCTTCCCGGCTGTGTGGCTTTCAGGCTTCTCCCATTGCACTCCACCCCTCCATACGATGACGGCATAGCTATTCGTACTCGGCCTACTCGTAGCAATCGCGGGGCTGCACGACCGACATCGAGCACCGACTTCTGGATATCGGGAAACACCTCAGGACATGGACAGTTGATCGAACATGTACAGGCTACAATTATTGAATCTATCAAGAGTTCTCAGTTGTAATGTCAGTAAAAGACTTGCCATCGAGAAGCTTGTAGCTCATGATTCAGGGTTCTACCTGGATCGTTGCAAATATGCCTCCGCGAAAGTTCCGCGTTGATCATGCAAAAGTCAGTTGTTTTCACGAAGCAGGTCATTGCGGGATGAAGCCTTTTAGATCGACAACCATATGAACATAGCATATATGTGGTGCATATGTACGCTAGGCATTGATTTTTACACATCTAGCTGCCTATCTATCTGTCTATCCTTATATATTTATATCTACTTTTATGACAAATGAATGAGCATTGATCGTAAGGTCCTTGTCGCTGCATTTATGCAAAGCCACCGCGGGCATAACATAACATGCCATCGCGAAAATTCCGCGAAGGGAAAGTTATTGCCTTAGCCTCCTTGCCAGCTATTTGTACTACTACTGCTACTACTACTGCTACTACTGCTACTACTACTACTACTACTACTACTGCTACTACCACTACTACCACTACTACCACTACTACCACCACTAGCACTACGACGACTACTACGACGGCCGACTTCTACTACTACTGCTACTGCTACTACTAGTGCTACTGCTACTACTACTACTACTACTACTACTACTACTACTACTGCTACTGCTACCGCTACTGCTACTGCTACTGCTACTGCTACTGCTACTGCTACTACTACTAGTAGCAGTACTCGTACTCGCACTACTCCTGCGATTTCGCTACTGTTGCTGCTACTCCTACTACCCCTACTGCTGCTACTACTACTACTACTACTGCTAGTAGTAGTATTAGTACTAGTACTAGTCCTAGCACTAGTGTTAGTACTAGTACTAGTTCTAGCACTACTACTACTACTACTACTACTACTACTACAACTACTAGTACTAGTACTAGTACTAGTACTAGTACTAGTACTACTACTACTACTACTACTACTACTACTACCAGTTCTACTGCTACTGCTACCACTACCGTTATCACTACCACTACCACTACCGCTAC